GGCTCAATGCCGCGAACCTTCACAAGTACCTCTCCAAGCTCCTCTACAAGCGCCGCTCCGACTTCGACCCCCTCTGGAACCACCTCCTCGTCGCCGGCCTCGACGACAACAACAAGCCCTTCCTCGCCGCCGCCGACCTGCTCGGCACCACCTTCACCTCTCCCTCCTTGGCAACGGGTTTCGGCTCAGCCCTCGCCCAACCCATCATGCGTCGCTACGCCCCTGATGAGGAGACCGCCGCTAAGCTCTCCAAGGAGCAGGCCGTCGACGTGATTAAGGAGTGTATGAAGGTTCTCTTTTACCGTGACGCTCGCAGCTCGGATTCCTACTCGATTGCTGTAGTAACCAAGGATGGAGTCGACTTGAAGGAGAGTGAGAAGCTTGAGAAGCAGAGCTGGAAGTTTGCGGAACGGATCCGCGGCTACGGCACGCAGGTGAACTAAGGGGAAGGCACGGACACAAGGATCTTTGGGACATAGAGAGACAGGCAGTGAGAGAATGGGTGGAAATGACATGAAAATGACTGGGTATTCGGCATAAGCTCTGGCAGTTCCGTGGGTGGGAATACTCATGAGACGCAAGTAGTAGAAGAGAAGCACGAGCCCTGCAACCCAGGGCTTATCGACATCACGATGAAATCAGGCGTGTGCGAGCAAGCATGTGTAACACCAAATGAAATAGACAATATTGTTCTTCATTGCTTCAGGTTGCCTGACTACGGCATTTAACCTCAAAAAGATACGCTCCTTTATCTTGACCGGCCCAAATCTACCATGCTGGACCATTCCCTCATTTTCACAATACCCAGTAATACATCAGAGGGCTCCGAAGTTGCCATCGCCTTTTTGTGGCCCGCTGTGACATCAAAAGCATCAAGGGCTTATCCTCCCTTTTGGCAACCCAACTCCAAGGGGGCGAATCACCCGACAATAAACCAAACTTCACTCAGGCTATGTGAGCAGTTTACTCGACAGTGACAGACTTGGCCAGGTTACGAGGGAAATCGACGTTGAGTCCCTCCATGACAGCCAGCCAGTAAGCAATCAGCTGCAGAGGAACGACGTTGAGGATACCCTGGAGGGCATCGACCGTCTTGGGGATCTCAATCTTCTCAGCCTCGCTGGTCTTGAACTCCTCGTCACCAGGGTTGCAAATGACAATGGGCTTTCCGCTGCGAGCAATGACTATTCCATTTGTTAGCAAATTATCAAGCTTAACGTTGGCTGATATTCTAGACTTACCTTGCTGGTAGGCGTTGAGCGACTTCTTGAAAAGATCATCACGGGTGAGGATCATGATGATTGGCAAGTTCTCGTCAACGAGAGCAAGAACACCGTGCTTCAACTCACCGGACATGACAGCCTCGCAGTGAAGGTAGGAAATTTCCTTGATCTTCAGGGCACCCTCAAGGGCGGTAGAGAACTGGGCACCACGACCGAGGAGCAGAAGGGACTTCTGGTTCTGGAAAGTCTTGGAGCAGAGCTCCTTGATGGACTGGTCCTGGGTGAGGATATCCTTGATCTGCTCAGGGATCTTGGCGAGACCCTCCATGATCTCCTCGCGACGCTTCTGCTTGGATGCGCGGTCCTCACTAAGGGAGAGGGCGAACATGACCATGGCAATGAACTGGGAGGTGTAGGCCTTGGTGGAGGCAACACCGATTTCGGGACCGGCGTTGACGTGGACACCGCAGTGGGTGAGCAGGGAGATGGAGGAACCGACGACGTTGACGATACCGACGGTCAGGGCACCGCGCTCCAAGCAGTAGCGGAGAGCCATGAGAGAGTCAGCAGTCTCACCAGACTGGGAGACGAAGACGCAAGTGTCGTCACGGAAGACGGGCGCCTGTCTGTCGAGGAAATCGGAAGCCAGCTCAACGGCGATGGGGATCTCGGCCAGCTCTTCGAACACGCCGCGAACGGCCATGCATGAGTGATAACTGGTACCGCATGCAATGAAGATAATTCTGCGGCAGCGGCGGATGGTAGAAATGTAGGAGCGGAGACCACCAAGGGTGACAGTCTTGTTGGCGGCATCGAGACGACCTCTCATGGTGTTGACGACGGACTCGGGCTGCTCGAAAATTTCCTTTTGCATGAAGTGATCGAACTTGCCCTTCATGATCTCCTGAAGCTCAAGCTCCAGGGTCTGGATGGTGCGCACATTGGAGCTGCCGTCCGCCTTCTTAAGACGGTGAATGTTCAGCGAGCCCTCGTGAATGTGAGCGATGTCATCGTCCTCAAGGTACATGACCTTCTTGGTGTGCTCGACAATGGCAGACGGGTCAGACGAGAGGAAGAACTCGGTGGGCATGGGCATGCCGTCGTCGGTCATGAAAGCGCGCGACTGCGAGCGGTGCAGAAGCGACTTGTCGGGGGCACCCAGCAGAGTGTTGGGGTTCAAGAAGTTGTCCTGCTGCTTCTTGAGGGCAACGTTCTGAGAGGCAGCCTCGGCAGAGAGGGCACCCTCCTCGGAGTACTCGACATCGACGAAGTCGACCTTCATGCGCTTCTGTGTCTTGACACCAATGACAAGAGGAGAACCCTTGCGGGCAGCGATGACCTCATGGGGGTAGTGAACGGACTTGATCAAAAGTCCGTAGGCGCCCTCGAGCTCGTTGATGACAGCCTTGGCGAGATCGGTGAAGCCAATATCGGGGTGCTGGTCGTACAGGTACTTGGCGAGCTTAGCAATGCATTCGGTGTCGGTTTCGGTCTCGAACTTGAAGCCCTTGGCGCTCAAGAGGGTCTTGAGCTCCTTGTAGTTGGTGATGATACCATTGTGGACGACGGTGAACTCCCAGGTAGGGTCAGATCTAGGAGATGGGAAGTCATGTCAGCTACTTGAGATTTTGATGACAGGGAAGCATTCAAAGGGGAAAGTTTGCTGTTGTTTTTGCGGGTGCAAACGTACCTGTGGGGGTGGCAGTTCAGACGAGACGGGGGGCCGTGGGTAGCCCAGCGAGTGTGGGCGATACCGGCATGTGAGTCGAAGTACTTGGTCTCGTCGACCTTGGACTCGGCGATGAGCTCCTTGAGCTTGGCGACCTTGCCAACCTCCTTGAAGGCGAAGACCTCATTCTTCTTGTCACCGTCGACAGCAAGACCGGCCGAGTCGTATCCACGGTACTCGAGACGGGAGAGACCTGTTGGAAGCAGAGGCCCGTTAGCAAAACAGCTCTCGAGATAAGGTGGAGCTATGTGGCTCCAATTGGAAGTATTCAGGAGGAGGCGGTGTACTCACCGTTCACCAAAGTGTCGAGGATGAACTTGCGGTCCTTCTCCACCAGGTAGTTGACGTAGCCGAAAATGCCACTATTGGGAGAGAGGTGCACGTCAGCTTACTGCCTGCTTACTGTGCTGCCAATTGCCTTTGTGGCTGTCGGCGCTCCGACCCCTTTTTTCAGCTGGCAGAAGCTGGATGGAGGGGAAGGGGAGGATGCCGGCAAGCTTTCAGGAGAGCGGGGAGCGGAATTGGGGGGACATACCACATGTTGATTCAACGCAATCGAAGACCCTGACAAGAAACGTAAAAGACCAATTAACAAAAAGAGGCGGAGACTCGGGTGGTAGAGGCGGCGGCGAAGGGTATCAAGAAGAGCGAGAGAGATGAATAGTTGGATCAAGAGAGAATGAGTAGGGTAGAGCAAGATGCAGGAGGCGGGAGCTGAGCAGCTTTATGTGCAGCTGGTTCAACTGGCTGGAGAGCAATGGGAGGGGAGAGTGTATTGTGTACGTGGAGAGAATACGCAGTAGCGCCTAGAGGCGTGGAGGGGGGCGGTGGGCGGGGTGTGGCAGGGGCGTGCTCGTATTGAGGATGACCGAGAGGGCGCGGCGCGGCACGGGTTGAGGGTGAGGGTGAGGACCAAAGATGACGGAAGGATGGGGGTGAGTGGGCAGGGCCAGGTACACTATGTGGTGGTATTCGTTCTTGTTATGGACGATGATGTCTTGCTATTGCCCAGAGAAAGCCAGGGAAGGAAACAAGGCTGTAAGAAACAAGCGCGCAATGATTTGCTGAAGTGTTGTTTTGAGTGTACTGACTGTTTACTTGCTGTTTGGTAGGCAATGCCTTCATCACAGGATAGCAAGCAGGCAAGTTCGGATAGCGTGTACGGATACCTACAATTCAACTGATACATCAGCAGAAGACTTCAGTCTCTGAGAGCAATGAATGAGGCCAGATGCTTTGAGAGACGGTCATGTTTGTTTATTGAGCTAGTTGCCTTGCCTGTTTTCTTTTTAGCTGTAGAAGTTGGCAGGAAGCAGCGTCTCATTGTCGTTTTCGCTTGCTAGATATCATGTCTAAGTCATGGATGCGAGTGCCTCCAGGAAAGTCCAGTAGACTCTTTGCTGGGTCGGTTTACAAATGATGATGGGTAAGGCAGTTCTCGAGTCACCGAGTCGGAGGTGTCTAACACTTTTGCAGCTGGGATGGCATATGCCAGGACTCGGAACAGACAGGCGCTAGGGCAACGGAATGGAGAATGGATCTAGATTTCGACGGAGCAGAAATACCTACTCTGTGTACTCCGTAGACTGCAGAGAGACAGACATAGCCCTATCCGTACCGGTATCCGTAACCCGCACTTCTTTGCAGTTCGATGTCTGGGGCGACCCGGTCAGAGTTGGGAAAGACAGACGTGCTCAGCCAGTGGAAGAGCCGCGAATGCAGCGAGTGAGGGGCAGCAGGTTTCTGGAGACTGGAAGGGCCCCCACCTCACCGGCAACAGCAAAGGAGCTGCAGCTTCTGGCACCACTTGCCTGCAGCAACACACATCGCGATATTCCTTGGAACCTTGACTTAACCACACATCTTGAAGAACATTTCTAGCCCCATCCCGGCGAAACCCGTTGTTTCTTGTGTGCCTGAGCAGACTGCAGACAAGGAAGAATACCTACAGCCCAACGTCTGACATGTTGTCTGTGCTGCATCATTGACTGGTCCGTCGTTTTCTGTGCCATCCCACCTCTTGCTTTCATTTCATCCAGAGACAGACACTATTTCAGACTATCCGTACGGTACCTGGACGCGGCCGCAGGCGCAGTGCAGGAATGCCACCCACCGCTCCCATCCCTCACCTCCTCCAGGCTCTCCCAGTGGGTTCCTCTTGGGTTCCTCCTCCTCCCGTCCTCCTCAAGCCCCCCCCTCCTTTCGTGGACTGTGGCGCCATTCCCTGGCTGAGCCATTCGGCTGCTACACTAGCTCCAAAGATCGCCCTCGGTACGTACCGCGATAACATCGTGGGCTTTAGAAAAGACTTGCTTCTTCATTTCAACTGCTGTTACGGATACAGTACGACCAATGCTGTTGGCCAAATGGTTCACAATAATATCTCCATAGCACTTACTTGCAAGTACGGAGTCCTGGATAATACCATATGTGCTATGCGCATTCACCTTTCTCGCTTGAGGAATTCTGCAGATAATCAGCCAACCAACACTTGATTGAGCACGATTTGGCATCCATCTGACTCCGATGCTGCTCTCGCCGCTTCCATTCCAATCCAGCCGCTAGAAAGGCACGATTTCCGCAAGCTGCATTTGTAACGCTAAAGCCTTCCGAAATGGTCAGCTTGTGATGAAGCCCGCACCAAGCAGGCACCAAGCAGGCACCGAGTTAGGAAAGCTGCTGCCATCAACTTCTGTTGTAACGCCTCACCCGCCTTGCCATCCATCGAATTTCAACACACCTCTTTCTCTGCCACAGCCCGTACCTTTACCAGCGCGTCTTTCCTATGGACTACTATGTACGAAGTAGCTACGGGAACTTAACTTGACCCGAGCTCCCCCACTCTCCCATATACATACATGCACACGCATGGCATGGCAGGTACGGTGTACGGAGTACTTCGTACCTATCCGAGCAAGCGCCTCCTGAAGTGCTCATCCCATGTGCCCCCGAACCCGCCAACACCAAGATCTGATTCAGTAACCGCCTTATCCCAACAACATCTCGTCATTAATTGGGAATCACAATTCTACCAAGCAAATCAACAACTGCACGTAATGTGTACTAATGGTCAGGTACACAAGAGATCAAACATGACAACTCGCTACCTTAGTTGTCTAACCTCTGCGATACGCTCCGTCCACCCGATTTGTCGGTTTGATTATTTCTTGGTGTTGCGTCAAAGACGTCCCCTATTCTCGGGCATCGGTGCGACGGCTACCTACGTTCGTCATGCCCTGTCCCACCCTCCAACGTTTTTTTGAGGATTCCATCACCGACATCATCGCTTTTTTTACCCCTTCTTTTCGTATTACCTGGCTCCGACGTGCCCCAGTCCCCAATCATCTGGGTGCGGACACCCCTTGGTTGTCAAGCGCTAGAAAGAATCCAGCGGGGATCGTCGCCAATGTGACACCGAGCGACAAGAATTCCCAAGCTCGGGTCCCCTGGTGTCCAACTCTTGCTGTTTGGCTCCGTTGCTGGTTGCACCCATGAAGCATGGAGGGGCTGCACAGGGGAGGGAGGGAGTGGGGCCTCCAAGTACGAAAAGAAGCGGACGTGAAGGGGAAAAAAACAGAAGAGAAGACAACGCACTAAGAAGAGGTACAGCCTCAATTGCCATCGTGAGAACGGGCCACAAAAGGGGCGGCTTGTCGTCCACTCCGTATACCAGTCGCCAAAAATAACATCTCGCACCGAGGAGAGAACCCTGCTAGACCGGCCTCTCCTGCAAATCACCATCTGGCAACTTTTCCATGCCACCGCCCATCTCGCCGCCCCAGCTTGACCCAGATCTTCTCGAATCGGTCGCGAGTCCACCCAGCCGAGGCAAACCCTGAAGTTTTGAGCCAAGCCCGGACACGTCGAGCGCGCCTGTTTAGTATCATACAGCCGCTCGTTGCGCGCTATCCAGATCTTTCTGATATCGATTTCGTGCTACGCATAATCCACGTTCCACGGTCCCTGGAATCAGCAAATAGGCCGAATGGAAGACCGGTACGGCCCACACAGAAACCATGCATCGCACAACTGTATGAGGTACCTCGCCATGGCTTCAGTGTTGCTCAATCCGAAGAAAAGCGAACGCCGTACCCACCAAGCCAGATTCAAACAAAGTCCAACACCTCATGCGTGGATGCGTTCATATCAGACGGCCGCCGGGGTACTCGAGACGCCGCCTGCAGAGCATGCCCCGGTTGCAGTCGCTCATCTCCAGTCTTACGGCAATCTTCCCATCGAAAACATGTGGCTAAGCTTTGTCTCTATTCGTTGCCGTGCGAGATCACCCAGCACATAGAGGTGGTCTCAGCTAGAGCCCCGCCATCCGCTTGCAGCAGCTTCAACAGCCTCCTTTGCACGGCATGGCGGATTCGTCGAATCACAAATTCAGGACCAGACCTTCGATCCTCCCGGGCTTACAATGTGCGACCTCATTCCCCACCCGTTTTCTTCTCGTCAGACAGGATTGTAAGCATGTGCTTCCGTCGTCTGCCTGCAGTGTAAGCTGTTAGCGAAGGAACAGAAAGATCATGTAAGACTCGACTAAGAAGCACAACCCGCTGTAGCTTCGCTTACACCAAGCCATGTCGATGAGCAGTACCTAAATACACCCCCTGAGCTATCTGTGGCTTGGACCACAAAGGGTACACCCCCCGTTCCTTTCTCCCCAGCCCTACGCTTACTCGGGGGCCTGCTGTAGATATGAAGGCCCGTGTCGAACTCGACATTGGTGACTGGCCTAACACGGCATCCTCGCCGTGCGCCGAGGTGGATGAGTAAACGGAGGCCTTCTGCCAGCGAGTAGCGCTCTCGAGTACAGACACACTATTGTTTGTTGAGCAGTTCAATAAGATGGCACTCTGGCACGTGGCGCCGCCGCGCCGGACCACACCCCGTACCCAGCCCCCCAGCTCAGTCGAGGCTGTGCAATTATCAATAGCTTCAAAAATGGAGCCTCACAGCTACGGGCTACCCTAGACTCGGGCCCCCCAAAAAATACCTACCTACCTACCAGGGAACATTCGAAGGGCGCAGAGATAAGAAAACTCACCATGGCCATGCATTCTTCATGATATTCCTTGATACAAACGCCAAAGCGCTTCGTATAGCTCTTGTTGAGCGGTCATAGAATGCAAGCTGATCATACGGGCTAATATACCTCCGTACAACGTCGCCGTCAACGATGGACATTACTGCTTGTGCATGCGCTTGTTTCATCTTTGGGATCCCGTAGCTGCTTCTATTCCACACCGTACGTCTCTATGATCCCATGGCAAACAACCCCAAACCTGGACTCGGGTATTGTACACTGTTTAACACATTAAAAGACCCTCTAAACGGCTGAGAACCGACGATGCTCGATCCAGCCGCCCCTTTCGATGTCTTTCCTTTGCTCCTCCGCGCCTCATCCCGTGAATCATCATGTCGCCTCCTCTCTGACCTTACAACTTCTGGTACTCGAGCTTGCCCTCCAGCTTCTTCGACTCGGCGACCTTACGTACTGCCTTGTTGAAGTCGTCCTGGTTGATTGCGTCGCGGTAATCCTTGATGGCAAACAGACCACTGGGCATTACTAGTTAGCTTCGGGTATTACGGGTGCTGTCAAAATGTGCAGTCACTTACGCTTCTGTCACGACGTTTCTCAAATCCGCACCATTAAGACCATCGCTCATCTTCACCACGCTCTCGAAGTCAATCTCACCCTCCGTCACCACGCCCTGGGCATGGATCTTGAGAATCTCCAAACGGCCGACCTCGTTCGGCAGGGCAATCTCAATCTTGCGGTCGAGACGTCCAGCACGAAGCAGCGCGGGATCGAGGGTATCAGGTCTGTTCGTGGCCATGATGATTTTGGTCTTTCCGAGGTAGTCGAAACCGTCCAGCTGGTTGAGCAACTCCATCAACGTTCTCTGGATCTCACGATCCGCACTGGTTCCCTCAGAGAATCTGCGTCCACCAATGGCGTCGATCTCGTCCATGAAGATAATGCAGGGCTCGTGCTCCTTGGCGTAGCCGAACATCTCGCGAATCAGGCGGGCAGACTCTCCGATGTACTTGTCGACAATTGCTGAGGAAACAACTGTTTGACCTCATTAGCACACTTCCTTCTACCGTCTTCCACCACTCCCCACGGAGTAGACCTACCCTTGAGAAAGTTGGTCTCGAGACTGCTTGCCACGGCACGTGCAAGCAACGTCTTTCCCGTACCAGGAGGTCCGTAAAGCAAAACACCCTTGGGCGGCTTGATGCCCACACGCAGGAAGAGCTCGGGGTTCTTGAGCGGCAGCTCAATGACCTCGCGGAGCTCGCGAATCTGGTCGTTCAGTCCACCGATACCAGCGAAGCTGACTTGACCGGGGTCTTCCAGTGACATGTTGTAGACGAGGGGGTCGACTTCTCGGGGAAGCATACGCATGATCGTGAGTGTCGTCATATCGAGTGCCACGCGCGTGCCTTGCTTGAGCTTGACCTTGTCAACCTTTGATCTGCATCCGACGACATATCTGGGACCGGAGGAAGCCTTGACGATGACTATTCGTGAATGGGAACGTTGATTAGCAAAAGTTGAGTCCTAATCATTCGCGTCTCTTTCTTGGCGGCAATCGTGGTAGGTAGTGGTGGTGGGGCGGGGACGGTGTCCATCGGAGGCGGAAAGCGGGATGGGGATGCCTTCACTTACATCTTTCGTCATCGAGCTGCTTAAGGACCTCGCCGATAATCTGACCGACACTCTGCAACGCCTTAATGTTGTCTTCGGTTCTGTCAAACTCCCGCTGCAAATCCTTGATCTCGAGCCGCAGGGACTTGAGCTTAGCTTCCCACTCCCGGGATTCGAGCAGCTTGGCCCGGTACGAGTCGAGAGCCTTCTGGCGTTCCTCGTCGGAAGACATCTCTGATTGTGGGAAGTTGAAGAGGAAAGGGCTACTGCCTTGATCTCGTCGAGGAAATGGAATGACTGCGGTTCGGAAGAGGGTGCTGTGGCGGTGGGTGATCGCGTTCGGGTTTCGAGTTTCGAAGGTTGGGTCGGTTGGTGGATGGGAGTGGGTGAGGCAGCTCGTGTGGTAATCAGATCGTTGTTTTCGGAGGTTGTGGTGTCGACGTACGTCCCACTGCAGCCTTCTACCTCAAAGGCAAGCACGGCTCAGCTCCGACTAGCGCCCTATCCCTGTGGCCACCGAAGCTCTGCCACTTTGCTCTGATTGGTTGTAGTCTCGGCTCCGGGAAATACCAGCTCCCGGTCAATTCTCAGCTCCTGCCATCGTCAAGGAACATGACGGCTTCAGCTTGAAGTGCTGTGCATTGATGAGAAGTATTTGCGAAGCTCACTTCATCAGTAGCCTATCACTGTGGCTTCGATGGTCTGATGAATCGGCCCTCTTTTGAACGCGGCCTCAAATCTCTATCAATGCTGGACTATGAGAGATGGAATGAGTTCAGGTGGGCAACATTAATACGGGAGCTTCAATTTGAATAGCTTTCCCGAGTGAAAAGCACATTAATGACTACTCAATCCTCCCTCTCGTCAGGAGAACCGCAAAATATGTTATACATCCAGCAAATCGGGTACCGAAATCTCAAGCATTCAGAAATCGAGGCAGGTTCAAAAGCGCAGTGGTCGTAGATCAATATCAATTGGGAGGGACAAGCCTCCAGTAAAGTTATGTACTAAGAATGGTAGGAAACAACTGTCCAACGCCCGAATTTCCTATCTCGCGTCCATTGATGGACCATCAATTTTCCACACTTCAATCTCCTGAAATCTCCGTAATCTAGATGGTATTGCGAGATAACATGCAAACCGTCGAGTGCGTGTGTAGTGCATAGATCCGAAGCCTCCTAGGGGGTAAACGCAACAAATGAAAACCAAATTCCACCACAGAACTCCAGAAAAGACGGGTATTTGGGTGCGTAAATCATAACGACAGCAGCCTAGGACAAGCAAATGCTTAGCCCAAAAGTTCAGAAGTGATCTCCTCGCGGACCTTTCGGCTCCAATCCATGATGGCCTTCTCAAAGTTAACCCAGACTTCGGGAGAATTATTGTAAACAATACCCAAGGCGTCCACCTTGAGTAGCACTTCCCAGCGCAGCTCTGCTGCTTTGGCCCAGTATCTGATATTGTCTGCAGACCGATACGGCTTGTCTGTGTCGGTATGGAATGTAGTAATCAAGCCGAATCGCCGTTTTGACCTCTTCACCGCCGCATTGTGCAGTTCAATTAGGTGAATGCCATTCTGCAAACTGATGAGATAAGGCGTCGGACACTCGCTTGCGTGAGCTGCAGGCGTGTAGTCTGGTAGCGGGTCGGCCTGAGGGACGAGAGAAGCCATGAAAGCTAATTCTCTTTCCACTTCTTTGCCAGCCCAGTCACCCTGCAGCCATGTCCAAGAGCTTCGCTCCGCCTTTTCTGCCTCAATCATCTCCTCTTCAATCTTCAACATGCTGAAAAGTCCGGAAATCCACGATTCGAGGATGCGCAGCTCCTCGTCTTTCATTCCGCCTGACCATTGTCGAGTTGCCATCTGCTTCAAGGTCTCCATGACAGAGAGCAGTTCTGTGCGGATTTCCTTTTCAGATTTGATGGCGTCCAGTCGCTCGGGGACTTCATGCGCTGTGTAATAGTTCCTGGCAGCTCGAATGGCCAGTGTCATGACATCAAGAATGTGCATGCCCTGAACCTCGTGCCAGCCTGTTGACGTTTTCTTGGGGGGCTCGCTTTGTCCTCTTGTAGGAATCTCCGGCAGTTCCGGCACAGGGCTGCTATCCCTATGCTTTTTTGCGTGTCTCAAGGCCTGAGCCGCCTTCTCGAGAGATCCTGTCAAGTCCGCCTTGAGCTCTTCGATCGTAGGAGGCTTCGGCACCGGCTTGTTTCTGTGAATGTAAGTGCTCGCGGTCGGAGGCAGAACATCCGGGTCCTCTTCGAAATCGTCAGAGTAGTAGTGGTCATCGGTAGGCGATTCCACCATGGGTCCTGCGCCAAAAGGTTGAGAGCCTAGTTCTGGGCTGTTCCCCCCCGAATCAACAATTCGTGGCGAGTTCGAGCTGGAGCTGCTGACAGAGGAGAGATCCAGTCCTCCTTTGGCTTTGTTCTTTCTTGCTAGCTGAGCACCCTTGCCGTCGAGAAGACCGGTCCGCGCAAAATAATACTGTAGGTGGGCGATGCTTCCCAGGCTGAGTACGCTTTCTCTGTGACGAGCACTCGCAGCGAAGTCGGTGCCCTGCGGTCGAACAAAGCCTCGACGGCGACTAGAAGAGCGGCCAACTTCCACGCTGCTGCAAGTGGACTGTCGAGACGATGCGAAGCTGATATCGGAGCGGCGGCTGTAGTTTCCAGAGGACTGTCTGGAGTAGGTGCTGCCTCGGAAGCTTCCCAGAGATTCGCGAGAGTTGCCCTCGGTGGCGGATCCGTGGGAGACGGAAGAAGCAGTCGAGACGCAGCGAGAAAGCTCGGGGCAAGCGCCAATAGCTGGGGTTGGAGATGCATCTGATGATGGGGAGTCGCATCGGAACGACGGCGTCTCTTCGTTTGCCGTGGCCATTATTTCGGTTATGCTGAGAAAGTCGAATGCTCTGAAGCTCGAGAGCCTGGTTGGATTATGTGTAAGCTCTTGGGCGGGTACGTGATATTGTGGAGGGTGCGGTAGCGGTCGAGCAGATGATGTCGACGTCTCGTCTCAGCTAGGTATCGGCGGTGGTCTCAAAGCTATGCGATAGGCAACGTGAGGGGGTGCGATGACCAATGTGGCAACGATTCAAGGTATGTACAGGTCGGAGAGGTCTATTTGCAAATGAAACGGTCGTGTAAAGGAAACTGGGTGCACAGCAGCGTCCAGAGGGTCGGCAAGCAAGACGGTTGACGCTCGCGAAGAAACGTGTGCTGGTGGTTCGAGGGACGTACGGCGAATTATTTGGTCAGGTGAAAGCCAGAAAAGAATGAAGCGAGCGAGTGGTGATTAGACGGTCCCCAGAATGAACGAAGCGGACGGAGAAAGTTTCTTGGACTAATAACCCCGGACGGTAAACACTAGCTAGGCAGGGTAGGTTGGCAACGGTAGGGCAAAAGAAAGCTAAGTCTCGTCTCTTCAAGGCTCGTCGTGGGCTAGGAACGGTCGAGGGTAAGGTGTGCCTGCGTGACTACGTGCTGTGACAAGACGCGACTCTCCGGTGTCAGGGGTCTGTGTTGAGCTTGGCCACAGCGTAAGGCACTGGCAAGGTACCTAGGTGAAAGAAAGAGTCCGGTGCGGTGTGTGACGGGAGCGCGTGGTCGCCTGGCGGTCTCTGGCACCAAGATCCTCGTCCCGGTTGCGTCAGTGGAGATGTGTGGAAAGGCCGAGGGCGAATCTCTGACGAGGGAAAGTCTCCAGCGGGCAAATTGGGGGTCCAATCGAGTGGCTCGCGACTTGCCAGGAAGGGACGGTTTAAATTGAACGTCGCGTCTTCTCCGAAGGTGGGGTGCGTCGAGGGTGCCTGCTGCGTGCAAAGGAAAGGAGAGGGGAAGGTGGGACGTAGGATGCGGGACGCGGGACCTTGGAGCTTGCTGCTTCAAGTGTGAGCCTGGAGGCTGGAGCTGGAGGGATACGATGGAACGTGTGAAACGGAAGCCGTTATCTTCGATTGTGTGTGATTGCCTTTTTTTCTTTTCGGAATTCGGAGAGATATTACAAAACGGCTGGTTGGCTCTTCTCGAGTTCAGAAAGAAACACAGCACCTCGGACAGGTACGACCGTATGGCCTACTATAAAGAATAACGGAACAAGTTGGTTTCCACAACTGGACCTGAAGGTGAGTAGCTAGCGTAGGTACCCGAAAGAACGATTGGCATATCAGCAGCTTCTCCAACTTCATGTGTTCCTCACTAAGGTACATACACTAGGGCAGAGGGGATCGCCGACTACTTATTCCGCCACAAACTCGTCAGGATGCGCTAAGTGCGAAGTAAATGACCGCTGAATCTCAGCCAGACATTCTCAAAGGGAACTCATAAACATCGACTCAGCAACGCGCAAATGGCCAAGCTGCGTAAAGATGCCCAGAACGAGCTCAACCTTTATCCTAACTATATGATAAAGCTACCCTAGGCATGAGAAACATCAGCCCTCCTGCATCCCAAGCTGTCGTTGAGCTCATTATCCCATCCCTCTACCTTGTTGCAAGTCGGATTCCCGTGGTGATGACAATTTCAGGGGCACAAATCATAAATAATGTCCAGCTGGCAGCAGCTCGTCCGGCCAACAAAGCACAAGTGGATAATCTCATTCCGCCAAAAGCCTCCGTGTTTCCCGATATCGAGATGAACCAGACCAACAAACCCCCCTCTTTCTTCGTCAATCCCAAACACGGGCTCCCTCCCGCATCGCTATCAACTTCCTCGCTGGTTGGTCGGCAACTATACTGAGGGTTTCCCACCCAGAATGCAGGAAAATGATGGGTGCACTCCAAGGAGCGCAGAAAGACAAGTTGCGAGAGAAACAGGACTAAGCATGGCTGTTAATTATCGCGCAACCTCAGCCACATGGCGCCAAGGGCCATACATTTCTGCTTCTTGCCCTATCCGTGTCGCGGCCCGGTCATTCCCGCCAGACTCTAGACCATTGCCCCATGCTTGACCCTGTCCCGCAGAAGCTCTATTCGTCTGCTGGCCGACCTTTTGTCAGTGTCTCAACATCTTGATTCTTCGAGCAAGTGGATCGATAGGTTCCGAAGAGACATTCTGCAAGTTCGCTGCGGCCTCGGAATATGAACGATATATGCTGCATTGAAAAGTCTTAGGTGAAGTAGTGCCTGCCTGTGTCTTGCCCTCACCCTTGTTCTTCTGCTTCTGTGCTCTCAAGCATGGTATGTTAGGTATGCTGAGTGCAAAACTCTCCACTTCCACATCTCTGTCATTTTCCATTCTGGCCCCCTGGTGATTCCGGTAATGCAAGTAATATGCAAGCCATCGCGTCAGACAACTCTATGTCAGCTTGAGGGGCTAACCTCTCCACTCACGACTCCCCTCTCAATATAATCAATGGCGTTGTGCTCAACCTCATCCGTGATCTGTACCAATGCGTGTATAAATGAGGAGCACAAAATCTGTGCAGGCAGAATTGGGTATGACGTGCATCCAAGTTTCTCAGGAAATTGGACGAGAGACATTCATCCAACCTATTGCCGTTAATAGAACTGCCAGTACCTTGCATAAGCCCGACGTCTTAATATGCAGCATGCTATGCAGCACTAGCCGTTGGTGTCGCGGCTCAATCCGACAACACTTGTCCCGAAATGTGTGAGTCTTTGTTAGATTCTGTTAGATTCTGTTACCTGACGTAGTATCAGCGTATCAACGGCTATGCCTGTTGGACTGGCACATGTGAGAAACATCAGGCGCCGAACGGCTCGTGCTGCTGGTTCTTGAAACGCAACGTGTGCATATGAAATACCGATCAGTCAACCGTGGTTGATGCAACAGCCCTTGCCCAAGCCGAGAAGCAAGAAGGACATGTCCGGGTCTCTGGAACTGTGCGCGAAGCGTCGAGGCCCTACGGCCCACGGCTACCGATCCGCTGGCCCACGACACAGGGTCCCCCCGGCTCATCCAATCTTCCACGGGCTTCCGAAGAGCCAGGACTCCCGGCCAGCTAGCGGGTGACCAGTCCAGAACGGGGAACGAGGTCTGCCACTGCGGTCAGGGTCGGCGGAGAGGAGAGGACATCAGCTGCCACAAGTGGTGATACCACTGCAACGTCGTAACTTGCGGAAATATGGTCAAGGCTCTCTAATAAGAGCTGTCTCGAGCAACGTGGTGGTCCACTCGGGGATTGCAAGGGCACTAATGTTAGACCCTAAGAGCAATGAACTCTTGGTTCGTGAGCGACATGGGGCATGGTCGCGGGTCGATACGTTGACGGTTGAGCAATCGCTACTCTGTTGACAATTTGTTCGAAATTGTGCGTTTGGTGGCGGCAATCTAGAGACGAGTACCTTAAATCCATCTTTTGAGACGTTCATTCGTTGTCTGAGCATAAAACGACATGATGAACAGCTATGTCCGAGGTTGTCTTGTGGTAGTAAAGGCTAATGCCACCACCTTGCTGCCGTACAAAGGGAAAACATGTCTCGACGAATGCTTCAATAGATACGGGCGTCTTTTGTGTCAAAGACGATGATTGTTGAACATGGCGAAACTTTTCGGAGGAAATCAACAAGGACATGTGCAAGGAGTCGAAGGATGTTTCATCGTCCGGGGGCCAAGGAGCGAGCGTCGAGAACGACTGGGCAGATAAGTAAGCTTGGGCCGATGTAACTGTGGTCGAGGAACAGACGGTGTTAGTCGTCAAGTGTTGACGATGGCGACGCACAAAGATATATGTATTCAACGGCTGCATGTTACGTCTGTGAGACAGCTTGCTGTGATGTGTCGTACTGGTAGAAGGAGGCCGCAGATGGGCGTTGTAGCTCATGCTTGAGTCAAGTCTCGTCTTGTCACAATCGGTCTGTGGCTCCATGCTCTATTGAGTTCTCCGTGTAACATTGACGATGGGTCACGGAGTCGAGGTAAGGTTAGAGAGATGAGGGAAAGGCTCAGCTCCAGAATAAGGTAGAGGCTAGCTTGATGTAGCTTGCGCAGCTTCGTGCAAATCAATAAAGTATCACAATTTACGGGACGCCGTTGATGAAGGGATAAGAAAACGAGCCCGCCGCGTCTTGTGCAAATCGCCCAGGTCCTCATCGCCTTCCTTCCCGAATTCCTAAATCGTTCCCCTCCAACCCCCCCCCCCCCCCCCCCCCCCCCCCCCCCCCCCCCCTCCCTTCCCCCCCCCCCTCCCCATTCCTCTTTCCCCTGGTCCCCCCCCCCTTCCCCCCCCAATTCCTAAATCGTCCCCCCCCCCCCCCCCCCCCCCCCCGATTCGAGTTCATTCTCGGAAGGCACTCGTTTCCCTTCCCTTCCTTCCTTTTTCCCTTCTTCCCTTCTTTCCTTCTTTCTGGCCAGTGCTTTCTTTCCATACCTTATTCCACCTCATCTTGACTAATACGAACACTCCGCCAGAGGTAATACTCCGGAGAACGTTTTTGACTTTCGTCGTCGCTCCCTCACACACTGTTTCTAGCATTCCTGCTGCCCAATCCCTTCTCGTCTTCTTCTTCTTCTGCTTCTTCCATTCCTTTTGTCCCTTCTGCCTCATTCACCCAGTCGACCCGGACGCCTTACTACAAGACACGACGCCTTTGAATTCATCGCTTCGTCCCTCCTCGATCGCTCTTGGAGATTCCTCGCCTACATTAGTCCTCCTCCTACTTGCGCCGGAGCAAGGACCAACCCAGCATAATCGCATGCGACCGATCCGAGCAAAGAACGAACGCCAATTAAGCCAGAGACTGAATTGACATCCTGCTGGTCTCCAAACTCCCGAGGTCTTGCGAGACCCGTCCATATCCCATACGTACCTCTCACCCTTACCTTTCCGATGCCGCGCTAGGCAATCCATTCAAATCTTTGGCGCTTTGTTGGACGAATTGCCTCTGCATCCCAGCCCAATCGCGTGGACGCCCAACAAAGAACCACACCAGTACCGACCGGCGTCTGCACTCCCATACCTAATACTGCGGCGTATGTCTTTTGCCTCCAATAACGATTACATTCCCGTTCGCCGGCTCCCCCAGACTCCCTGGTCGCTGAATGCTGCGGCGTACCCCACCGACTAAGGCACTGACAACAGTGCGCTTGACGAGCTCGCCCAGGCATCCAGCAATCCCAGCATTCCAGCGCCGCTCATCGATCCTCCTCATTCGACAACCCGCAGATGACCCAACTGAACCCGGCGAGGATCAGTCTGCTAGACCCAGTTATCACTCGAGCTCAGGACCACCGGACCCAGCCTATCCACGAGCCAGCTCAGTCGTACTCTCATTGTCATCCGTCTCCGACTGGCCACGTACCGTACTGCAGCAGAATTAACTGCAAGAGGTGATTGTCTCTACAGAGGCGCGCGGGGCCTGCGTTAGAATCAAGGACGGAAAACCGCGAAAGGGCTGTCACGTCAATTGAAGGTTTGCCCACAAAACACTAAGAACAAATGTCAGCCACGGAAGGATCGGTTGCAGAGGCAGAGGCCAGCTGCAACAACACAAATACAACTGCTTCTGCCGTTGTCCCCTCTGGAGACTCGTGTTCCAGCCACCAACCACAGCGCCTGCTGCACGCGGAGGACCAGGCGCAGGCCCAGGAAGCCACTACTACAGCAGACCACTTGACCCTTGGCTTCTCTGACGTCTCCAGCCCGCAACTTTTCCAGCTAAACCCGCAGCCCCAGGTTGTAAACAACAACATCATCGACACCACCGAAAACAAACCGTCCTCACGACCGACAAATGATAACACAGTAACTTCAAAATCCACAAACACCACACCAGCAGGCTCCCCTACAACGAATAAGGCAAAACAAACTCGCAAACCCTCACCCAATCTCGCCGCCCGATTGAAAGCGCTCGGCTTTACCTCGCACAAGAAGTCAACAGACCAACCACTTCAACAAGACCAAGTTGGGCGCCTGCCTGAAGACCAGATTCGCTTGATAGACGAGAACCATAAGGCGAGTTCCGTCGAATCGAAGATCAATCGACGCGGTCGCCCTTGGAAGGGCTTTACATCGTCCGACGACCCGAGACCACAGACTGCATCTTCTACTGCTTCGAGAGAAGACCCCAACACTTGGATATTGTCATCCTCGCCAGACGTTGCCCCGGGCGCGTCTCTTGTCCTACCCGAGATCATAACAACGGCGCCCTTGGACATGGAGACACATAAATACCGTCTGCCTGACCACACCAATGGGAACGGTACCAAGGTACAACTTGAGACTAGACGAGAGCATCTCGAACGCAATGGAGCCCTTCCCGCCTCCGATCAACCACCACCTCCACCTCCGAAAGATACACCGCCGGTGCCAGCGGTCGAGTTTACGCCTGATCTTGCGTCATACTTTACTCCCGGTCATCAGCGACCCGGTTCCATCTACACGCTTTCCCGCGCATCTTTCGCCAATCAGCTAGCTCAACTTACATCACTCCAGCTTCCTGATGCAGAGTCCTTGTCCAGCAAGGTGTCTGCCATCCCGACAGCACAGGTCGCATCGAAAGCTTTGATCAACGCTGCGGAGCAAATTAGAAGTTGGATCTATAAGGCATCAGAGGTTATTGGTGGTCTGGATAGCGATGATGACGTTGAGTGGGCCGCGGCGGGAGGTCGCGAAGGATACGAAGAGGTCGAGAACGCCATACATCGCTTCGAGAAATTGATTAAAGTGTACGTCGGTGCTATCGAAGAACTGCAAGGCCGCGAAGACATTGCCGACGTTCCGCCCGAAGATCTCCATCGCGCCGTCTCCCAAATGGAGTCCATCATCGAGGAATGGGCCAACATCAAAGCAGCACTCAATACCGTTAAAGGACAAGTCGAAATCGCGATGGAGTGGGAGGAACTGTGGAACAGTGTTCTGGGAGACATCCAAAGCGAAATGGACGAACTGAGCCGTCTGGTCTTCGAGATGGAAGAAAGACGCCACAAGTCTTTGATGGCTGCCGCAGGCGGCGACGGCGTCGACATTGGAGACCTCGAGAATATTGTTGAGGATACTCCTCCTCCCGTCGCCAGGATGCAAGCGCAAAACCGCTTCAGCCTACCTGGTCTTCCGCTCAGTCCTGGATCAACGTCTCCAGGAACCCCTACACCCACTTTGTCACAAGATGATTCTAGTCTTCTAGCCCTATTCGCGCGGATGCAACCCTTGCGCGCATCGCTAGACTTCCTCCCCATGCGGCTCGCGGTGTTCGCTGCCCGAGCCGAGAAATCTTTCCCAACTGCTTGTGAGGAATTGGACATGCGACGCACAGGTCTCGATGGCAGTTACAAAAAGCTGGAAAAGGATGCCGAATCACTGCGTAAGGAGCTGGGTGAGGATCGCTGGGTCATTGTCTTTCGCGGAGCAGGACGACAGGCCCAAAAGATGATCGAATCAGTTGAGAGATCGATGATCAAGCTAAGGGAAGCTGTCGACACCGGTATGCATCTGAGCAACCCACCGACAATGATCAAAAAGATCGAGAGTTACGACGCCAAGAAGACGCATTATGGCCCAGCTATCGAGCGAGTTTTGGCCATCATCGACAAGGGTGTTAAGGACCGCTTAACTGTCAATGGCGAAATTCTACGTTTGCATGCCGAGATGCAGGCGAAATGGGAATCGATCAAGGATGAGATGAGAGAGATGGACGTGGTTGTGGACGAAGTTCACGTGGATACTAGAGGCCAGCAGTTGAGGGATTCTATCTCCAGCATGCTGTCAAATGATCGCTCCACGATTGGTAGTGGCCGCGATACTCCCGGCAGCTCCCCTCCTTCCTCGGTAATTATGTCGAGTCTCGGATTAGAGCCAGTCACTCCCAGAAACAAGATGGCCAAGAACCGTTCTGTGAGCACCAACAGTCACTTGCCGCAGCCATCGGGAAGAAGACAGTCGTCGTTGCCAACACCTTCCTCTCAAATGCCTCGCAAGCCCTTGGTACCTCGATTGTCCAACATGACTTCGAGGCTTGGCACTCCATCTGCGGGCAATATCCCCAGACCTGCTTCCACGCAGCCTAATCGGCCCAGGTGGAATGGTTCGACCAACACTACTGATGTTGGTATCGGTCACAACTTCAAACCCTTGACCCTCACCTGCCCTAGCCCCTACGCCAAGAAGACATCGCCAGCCGCCCGTCCATCATCCTCTTTGACCCCGCGATCTTCATCGCCCGGCGGTACGAGGTTGCCAACCCTTCGGAGCCCCCTGACCCGAGAGTCATCCGCGTCGCCCATGCCCGAGGACACACCTACGAAGAGGGCCCCATCGAAGTTGTCTTTTAGGGAGCGTCTGGCCTCACCTGGCCCGTATTCTCAGCAGACACTCTCTAAGCCGCGTTTATCTTCATCTGTCTCTACGTCCGGTCTGGAGTCTCAGTCCAGCCGACGTGCCTCTCTTCAACCACCCAAGCTTCACTCATTTGCCGACAGAGCCGTACCAAGCCGTCCTGCAAGCTCGTTGGCATCGACGCGTCGAACTAGCCAATTGCCACAACTCAAAGCAAGCAGTACGACAGGTGGCATGGAGACCCCTCCAACCCGATCAGTGTCGCGGAATACTACACGCAAGACTCTTCCAGAGCTGTCTAAAAGCACCTCTAGCCAGAAGCCTCGATGGAGGGGCTAGGAGTCTCTTTTATCCAGGCAAAGGAGGGTTTTTAGTTCTCCGTTGGCAACAATTACGCAGCAAAACGAGGCGGTAGCTGAGGTGGCAGGCAAACCCCGCTGGCGGACTTGACGAAGCACCAATGGCAGAAACGGAGGACAAGGCTTTGAGTCGTTTTCGACTTGCTTTGCCTCGGCCGGATTGGCATCACACCACGATATTGAAGTTTGTACATATTCGAATACCCTCTTTCACGGCAGTGCCACTGATTGATCCTACTTTATTTGCTTTATGGCGAGGCGTCGGATTGGGATCCGTCGAGGGGCGTTTGAGTTTTCAATCTTGGGCAGGAGGATACCTGCCTGACGGTCTTTTTAGTATTATACCAGGAGGGGAAACATGGAGTCTGATTTCGGACGAATGTGGGAAGGTCCAATATGATCGTGAGCCATCACCGTCACGATGCACTGCACGGAAACCCCAAGTCGCGCTCCGATGAACCCGAGGCTATACCCTCAAAAACTAACAAAACAAAAGACACCACTTGTATTGCAATGAATGGATCGGACCTCGCGAACGGACTTTATACCCCTCATGATACTGATATCTCACGGGAATGGTGGGATGGGCCGGAGGGCAGGAGACGCGTAGAGGGAGGGTTTAGATAGCTAGCTGCGCGAAAAGACGCAAATTGATAATTCGTATTTTCGAGTCCCAAAGTTACTCTCATACATCATGGTCGAATTGGGACTGAGTAAAACCTAGCGCTAGTCTGGTCATGTTATGAAGCAAGAGAATCATCTGCCATAAAGGTTGTGGACATCGGGGAGCATCTTGAGTACGGCAGAGGAATACATGTCTTAATCATTCATGGTCAACATTAAAATGCCAAAATGTGCCTATGCTGCGCCTGAGAGAATGCTTGTAGACCGGGCGACGCCTGCCCCTGAAATCATCATCGTACGGAATCGCTTGCTCCATCGCCGCCCTGAGACATGAAAGGTATAAAACTTCTTCTCCCCCAACTTGTCACGACCGTTTCCCCCCTGCCTCATGAATGTTTGCTTCTCGAATAAAGTGGAGCATGTGTCTTGTGTTCCTGACCCCAGTCATGTTTGATGTTCCTCTCGTCCGTTGTATCCCTTTAGGTATGTCTAGTTCCATACCAACACATATATCATATGCTAGCCCTTCTCACCGGCTTCTCAGTGTGGCATCAGCCCGATACCGCTGCCGCCACCGCCACCACCTCTTTTTCCCTTGGAGAAGTAGCTGGTCACGGCGCTGTTTCTCGAAGCTGATGCCCCGCCGCTGCTTCTTCTGTTTGTCCCGCCAGAAGCCTTTTTCTTGGTAACGCCGCCTCCTTGTTTTTTGCTTGCCCATGAGCTGGAGCCCTTGCGACCCCCTGATCTCCGACCGCCTCGAGCACCACCACGCCCCCTTGTCGAAGTTGACGATGAGGCTCGGCTCGGAGGCGCCGTATCTAGTTCCTTCATTCGCTGGTTCCATTCCTGGACAGAAGGCGCGAGGGGAGGCGGTCCACTACTGAAATACTTCGAAGATTCCTCTTCCTCTTCCTCATCATCCATGTTCTCGTCTTCGTCGGAGCTAATCAAATCGACGATGCTCTGCTCTTCGGCTTCCATGTCTTCGTCTTCGTCCGCAAAGCTGAGCATTGCCTTGTAGTTGCTGTGAAAACGCTTTATCAGGGGCACGAATTTGCTCCCAAACTTATCCACCTTTCCTGGCTCGATCCCTGAAATTTGTCGCATTTGAGGGAGAGTCTCTGTCCACCGGATAGCCATTTCTTGGAAACTCTTCTCGGAAAACAGAGGTTTTCGGAGCCCTTGCGCATTCCGCAGAGACTCCTCGAGCTGCTTAGCCTCCTGGACAAAATTGTGGACGACGTCTTGGTGCAGTTCGTCAAGTGCCCCTAGGCGTATGTCCTCCTCGATACGGGGCCCAACCGGCTTGGAGGCATTCCCACGTTTTCGAGGTGGGGGCAGTGGCTCGAATCCATCGTCAGATTCATTGTCGGACATGACAAAGCCATCCTTGATGTAGCCGTTTGCGTGTAGCGAAAGACTTTCCTCTGCCATCTCTTGCCTTAGCACCTCGTCTTCCTCGTCAGAATCGATGACGGTCGCAAGGGACTTGCCCTTTGACCTCTTGTCTTGCGTTCTTCGAGCTTGCGCTGGCGAAGACACGTTGGTCGAAGGCGGCAGGCGTCTCCTCGGCGGTTCTTCGTCCAGGTCCTGCTCTTCGTTCTTCTTGCTCTTTTGGGTCCGCTTTTTGGGTTTTGGTGCCAATGGTTCCCTATTCCTATCAGAAACCTGGACCGATAACAATAGTTTGCGTCGGCCATTGAGAAACAAGTGGGCGTTGCGACCAGGCTACGAACGTGTTAGATTTATTGAATAGAGCCAGATATAAGCAGTAGAGCAACTTACGATGAGATACTGGATCGCGATACCGGCCCTCTTGTTCACCACATTCTCCTCCTCTAGGGCCTCCTCAGCTGTAAGTCTATCGATGATGCGTTCGAGTTCATGCTTCTTCATCCCCTTTGCGATGCCATGAGGATCGTCAGGATGCGGATCAATTGTCTTTTGGTACTTCTTTCCCATCAAGATTTCACTGCACTGGTTTATAGTCAGGCGCTCGTGAAGTTGGATGGTCTGTATAGCTCCAACGGCAAGTTCAGAGAAGTCTTGCTGCTCAAAGACAGCGCCTGCTCGACAGTTGTCGCAGGTCTTCTCGCACTCGTCAGAGTTGAACTGTTCGCCAAAGTAGCGAAGAATCTCAACGCGGCGACAGTCTTCCCGGTTGTCGCAGAACGCAGTGACTCGATTGAGCATCATTCGTTGCCGTTCTTTTTGTGCCTCGCTTCCTTCGCCCTGCGAAATCATCTTCTTCAGTGTGGCTACATCCTGATAACCGAAAAATAGAATGCAGTCCGAAGGATTACCGTCTCTCCCAGCGCGCCCTGTTTCTTGGTAGTAGCCTTCCAAGCTCTTGGGGATCGAATGGTGAATGACGAAACGGACGTCAGGCTTATCAATGCCCATGCCGAACGCAATTGTCGCTACAACGACATGGATCCTATCCGCTTGCCATTCCCTCTGTACTCTGATCCTGTCCTCAGGAGTCATCTGCGCGTGGTAGTGACTTGCTTTGACGCCATACTGAGAACGCAGCTTCTCGGCGACTTGCTCTGCAGTTTTCCTCGACAAAGTATAGACGATTCCACATTGTCCGTCGTACTTGGACATAATCAAATCAGCGATCTTGTGGATCAGTTCCTTCTCTTTCCGCCGAACCTCATACGTGAGATTTGGGCGATTGAAGCTCTGACTGAAGACCTGGCAGCTGTCCATGCCTAGGTTATGCTTGATGTCGACAATGACGTTCTGAGTCGCTGTGGCCGTAAGTGCAATAATGGGAACAGTAGGAAAGCGGTTGCGAAGTTTGCCTAGTGCCTTGTAGTCTGGTCGAAAGTCGTGACCCCATTGACTGACACAATGTGCCTCGTCAATTACGATTCGTGCGAGCCGCTTGTTGGAGTAAAGACTGGTTAGGGCCCTCATGAAGTTGTCACTGTTATTCAGCATCTCCGGCGTGACGTAGAGCAGCTGGATGTAAAGTTCCGGACTCCTCTCTTTGAACGAAGAGAAAATCTGACTTCGCTTCTGGGAACTCGTCTCGCCATTGAGCGAAACAGCTTGAATATTGACAACTGACATGTGATCCACCTGATCTTGCATAAGACTAAGCAGAGGGGAGACGACAATCGTAATTCCCCTCGTCTTGCCGCTAGTAACAATAGCTGGAAGTTGGTAGCAAAGGGATTTACCGCCGCCGGTTGGCATCAGCACGAAAGCATCTTCACCTCCGAGTGTGGCGTTGATAGCCTCAAGCTGATTAGAGCGAAACCCTCTCATCCTGAATCTGTCTTTCAAAGCCTTCCTCACGTCTGCTGACCAGGGGTGTTTCATCAGTTCTGGTGGCATTGACAACTTCGCTTTCGAAGGCTCTCTCTTCTTCAGTGGTTCGACTGCCTTCAAAGGCTGAACAGCATTGCCCGATGTCGAAGTCAGTGCACTGCGGCCTCTCGTTGTTTCGGCAGACGAAGACTGCCGAAGCTCGAAGTCGTGAGCCAGTGCAAGCATGTCCGCGTCTGCATCATCGCCGTAGTCGCTGGACATGTCTTGAGCACGATGACCCGCTTTCTTGGGAGGACTCTTTCGATTTGGCGTTGGCCTAGACACAGGTGGCGGGGGAGGAATGAATGCGCCGTAATCGTCTTCAATATCATCGAAGAATTCATCTTCGAACTCATCGCGTCGACGGGGCTTGGCACTTGGTGCAACAGGTTTCGCACTCCTTGGAGCTGCCGGTCGACTCCGGGGAAACGGCGGCGGCGAGTGATCTCTTGGGTCAGTAAGCCTTGACGACCCGGGGAACTGTGTCTGGTGAATGACTTGACTATCCATTTCCGTGAGTCCTGGTATATCCCTGGATGCCCTAGAAGACATTTTGTGGCCAGGCTGCGTGCTCATGACCACGGACTTGGATCTGCGGTATTCTTCGATGAAGGTTTCGTCCACTATGCCGACACCAGGGAGAAGTTCATCGATGGACTGCTCCAAATCTTTGACTTTGTCGGCGATTTCATCTAAGCGGTTCTCTTCCTCTTCAGTATCGCGACCTTCGTTGTATGCATCGGCAATCTGCATTGCGAGAGACTCTCTCTCATCTTCAAGTGCCGCATGTGCATTAAGCAGCTCAGAAACTTCCTCCAGCCCAGCCTGTTGTTTCAGCAACAATTCCTTTGCGATCTTAAGTTGGGCACGATCTTCTTTAGTGCCTTCTCGTAAGACCCTGGCATAGTCCTTCAGGTTCTGATCGCGCTGGTCTTGAATCATCTTCTCCCTGGCCTTGAGGGAGTCTCTGTTGTTTAGAATGAACTTAAGCACAGCAGACTTTTGCGTCTGTGAAGAGGTGCTTTGCTGGGACGTGGAATTCGTCGGTTGATCTCGAGATGGCAAGGGTGCATAGCTCGTCTCGGCTGGAGCCTCGTGGCTTTCCGGTCGCAGCACCGATGAGGTAGGTATGGAGGGGGTATCAGGAGCAACAAGCCCATCAGATAGCATGGTGTCATCGAGAGGAATCGATGCTGGCCTTGACCTAGGATTCGTAAACGGCATCGTTGAGCCTGTATGGCGGCTTGGTGTAGCAAGAAGCTCTTCATCAAGATCCCCGTCATCGAACTCGTCATCCGTATCTTGTATTACCCGGGGTTTGCTGCGTTGCTTCTGTGCTTGGAGATCTAGTGACCCGACTCTGGAGTTCGACTCTGGACTTGACGATATCCGTAAAGCCTTGCTTGGTGTCCGACCAAGCACCTGCTGACCTCCCGAAGCCATAGGTAATCGTCGCGGTGTGCCGTTGCCAGCAGGCTCTTCAGACATTCTGTAGGTACGCTGGGTCCGACTGATTGTTTGTGTAATAGTACGCTCTTCAATGACCCCTTTGTCGGTAGTTGCTCGACGAATACTGGAGGGAATCGTCCTCGGTCCCTTAACCGAACAACTACCCTTTGGCGCAGGTGTTCCCAACGTCTTGTAGATGTCTGGGAACTCGTCCGAATCCGACTCCAAGTCACCCGCTTTGCTCATCTCAGTGCTCTTCCGCTTCTGCCCTCGTTTGCTCAGCGGCTCCGGTCTTGACGCATGCGCCTCGTTCCATATGGTAACCCCATCATCAAATCCCACTGAGTCTGATGACAAAACGGTATCATTGCCAGTCAGGTCGAGAATTTCGTCATCGTCGTCATCGAGGAAGTCCGGCGTGGGTGCCGGCGCCGGCTTGTGTCTTCCTTCTTGCGAAGATAATGGAGCAGCCCGGTTCCGCTCGTTCTCTGCATCTACAGTCGGTCAGTCAGTGTACTTTCAGATGGATAGTGTGTATTCACCTTCTTGCCGAAGCTTAGCTGTGTAAGCTTGCTGGAATCTGCCACCACTCGTCGTCGAGGAGGGCGTCAACAGCTGCTGTGGCGGTTGCTGCTGTTTCACCGCCAACGAGGGCTTTCTAGGCCTTGTGGAAGATGTCAATCTCGCCATGGACGCGGAGTTTCCCGTTGTTGCCACCCTAGAGTCCCGTGGCTGTTCCACCACGTCCAGGACATGAAGTGCAGATCCTGCATACGTCCTGCCAGGTATTGACTGGGGATTTGGTCGAGTCGGAAGCTCTTGTTGGGAGCTTGAGCTACCAAAGCGGCTCTGGGATTGTGAAGAGTCGGCACCGGAGGGGTCGTGGGCTGGTGGAAAGGCGAGATCGGTGGGTTTAGATAGCGCGACGTTGCTTAGCAGCCAGGAGAGATGGTCCCCAAGGTTGTTTCGAGTCATTTATCCGACTGCAGGTAGTATACCTGGGGTGTTCCGAACGTCATTGGGAGACGGTTCTGGGCACAGTTGAGGCTCTTTGATGGTCGTTGCAAGATTCGTCGTTGGTGTTTACACCCGGCCCATCACGCTGAAAGTGCGTACCGCGTTTGCTCCCCCACCCACTTTAGCTAGCGTGTCGTCGCGTCTTGGCTTAGTCAGTTGCCCAAGGAGCATCTCGTCTTCACGTGATCAGGCGCCCGAGTACGAGGTGGGTCTACCTGTCGACGACATTTCTCATGCAGCCAATCACACTTGCTCATCATCCCGACACTGTTCGCATGATGATGAGCATGTTAGTTATGATTGTCTTGCCTTTAAATCTACACCACGATTAGGCTGGAAATGGCGTTCACTGGCAAGCGCTCACAAAACTTTGCAACGTAGATGGTTGGCAAGACGAAGATCCGTTTATTACTGGCTAACTTGTGATTTGGAATGTCTTTTTGAAGGATACCCCGTATGCAGTGGGTAACTGAAATGTTCTCCGTCCTGCCAAAATCCCAATCTCAGATGCCATTGCTGCACAGAGACCTCCGGTCATGATACCAAGAGTTTTCTCCCGCAATGTTGTTGGCAAAAGAGAGAGAATAGTAGCATAATTTACACGCAATCTCTACGGCGCTTGTGCAATCGATTCCTATGCATGACGTACCTGAGTAGCGAGGTGGCTTCCTCGGACGGAGCAATGTCCCTCCTATCTTTCAGACCCTCAGTGGGGGGAGTGAATAGAAGGACGGGAAGCCGGGACCTGATGATGTGGAGGCGGAAAGGAAGAACAGGAGAGTGGGGAGGTGCTTACTTAGAGTGTTGGCGGCACTCCGGGAAGCTACCTGTTCCTTTGAGATCCACGATGCCGCAAGTTCGACGTGGGTCATCAGACAAGTCTGTTTGTGAGGTACGTACGCCTCTTTCCTCATATGCACGCATGTTTTAAGCGTCAGTAAACTTCCTACTTGGGCTCTCACTCACTGGTTCCCGCTTGAGGTACAGTTTCTGACACTCCATCACTGTTCTGTTCGGTGCAGTCGAACCACATCAGCTAAGCCATCCGTACAAAGTCACGACGAAAAGGGTCCAGAAGTGGTTGTATACGTTGTAGACGGAGCTAAGATTGCGCAAAATCGAATTATTTACTAAGAATGCCAACAGTGGATATCATTTTTGTCCGTTCCATACTCCAGACAGACCCCCAAAAGCCAGTCTACCGGGCTCAGACCCTATTCAAAACAAGCGAGCTATGAGACAAGAAACCAATCGTAACCAAAAGTCATTAATGTTCGTGAACGTCCTTGCGCTCAGTGGCGCTGAGCCTTGGGAAGCGGGTGAATCCAAGAAACCAACAGGTTGACAGCAATGTGAATGCAGCCAATAACCCAAAAGCCCTTTGCATAGTTCGTTCCCTGGTCCATGAAGCGGAAGATGATGGCGAAAATCACACCGCCAAAGTTTCCGCCGGCACCGGTGACACCAGACACGATACCGTTGGCATAGCTGTGAACGTGCGGGATGAGACCAAAGTTGGCTCCGTTGCCTGCCTCGTGGAAGACAGCCATCAGGAAGACAAGACCAAACATGGTTGATTCGTTGTGAGGGTTCAGTTGACCGATGAGAATGAGCAGAGCGCCGGTGAGAACACCGCAAGTCGTGATCCAGCCCTTCTTAAGCCAGAGGTTCTGTCCACCATAGCGGTAAAGCAGATCAGACACGACTCCGCCAGCGGGGCGGGTGACGACGTTGAGGAAGCCAAACATGGCAGCCCAGTTGCTAGCACCAGTCTGGCCCAGGGAAGGAAAGTTCTTCAGGTAGTAAGAAGAGAGGATGGCGTTGATTGCGAGCTCGCCGCCAAAGGAGCAGCCGTAGGTGGCTACGTGGAAGATGGTTTGAGGAGACAAGACGACCTGCATGGCCTCGTTGAAGGACGGGTTGACGACAGTATCAGCTTGAGCCGTCTCAATCATCTCCGTGCGAGAGAGGGTGGCCTCATGGTCGGAAACGACACCGTTCTTGCCGTGAGTGCTGTTCTTCTCCTCATCGGATGCCATGGAGCCCGTGTTGTTGCGGTCAGTGATACCGCCAGGAACATCGACAACGTCGGATCGCACAGCGGCATCAACGCCGTGAGAGTGGAGGTTCTCTTGGGCATGAAGGTGGCGATCTGCCCACTTGCCCGTCGGTGTGTCCTCGCACAGGAGAAGAAGACCCATACCACAGCAGAACAGGCAGATGACGGGTACGATGAAGGTCAACCGCCAAGCTTGACCAGGGGAGTAGCCGCGTGCGTGAACAAAAGAGTCGTAAACTGCGGGCATGACGAAGTAGGTAATTCCACCACCAGCGTTACCCCAGCCTCCGGCCAGGGCATTAGCGGTTCCAACAACATTCTTATCGAAGAACCCAGTGCACCACACCTGGCAAGGAACGAAAGTAGCACCGAGAACACCGATGAAGAAGCGGGAGATGTATAAGCCTGTGGCGTCCTTGACCAGCGGTGCAAGGCCAATGGGAATAGTGCCGATGAGAAGCAGCGAGCCAAAGACGATACGCGAACCGAAGCGATCACAGGCGGGTCCAGCGATGAGCCGCATGAAGAGTGTTGCGACCAAAGAAACAATGTTGGAGTTTGCGACTTGTGCCGTAGTAAGGTTGAGGTCCTTCTTGATTGTGACTGTCAAAAGAGGCGGAAACGTGTACCAGGCCCAAAACTATCGCCATGTCAGTCCACATGCACGGAAGAGACCACCAAGACTTATACGCACGGCAATCATAAAACCGAGCCACGAAAAGTGGAAAGCTCGTGCGTAGACATTGAAAATGTTGAATACAGGGATACTGCGCGCTTTGCGATTGATAGGGTTCACCTCAGGTGCCCTCCAGAGAACGGAGAGCTGCATCGTGATGATGATTGCGCTGTTTCCTCGTAGTTTTCGGTGTCGTGTGGTTTAAGGCGTAGGTAAACGTCGTGGGTTCGTGTTAGTCGCCAGTGATGACCCACGTAAAAAAGGATTCCGAATCTCGAGGCTTGTTAAAAGAACCTGGTTGCTGATGTTGTCGATTGTCTGGATGGTGAGATCTACGATTATGGCTACTGGGAAGGCTCAAGGAACACTCTTATATGAATGCTTGCAACAGATAGACATATGCTTCTTGAAGATCGAAGACGGTTGATGCATCTCCGGGACAGCAAGACGCTAAACCGGATTGATTCTCCCGCAAGAAATCCCCTGCCCTGCCGCGGGGATACAAGGATGAAGGGGGGGGACAAATGCGAAGGTGACGGAGACGTGCTGACGGGATGGAAGGCGGCCAAGAGGCGTAAAGGGACCGGACCACACCAACTGCGTGGTAGACTTGATACTGGGCAGCAGGCTGGCTGGTCGATCTCTCAGATAAGAATACGTCGACGGGAGAAAGACGGAGATGACACAATCTTTCCTGTAGCGTAGGTAGGCCGAGGCACTAGGGCGATGTCTTGAATGAGAGTGCCGATACTGCACGTTGTGTCTCTAATCCTCGACCCAACGTGGCTCCTAGGTCATGGTAGCCGGAAGCCAAGGAGAAGCTCTAACAAGTGACAGCTATGAACTGCGAATTATTGTTTGAGGATCCAACATGAAGTGAGCGAGAGACAGCCACGATCTTGACGAGACACGGGCGAATCTCTTCCAGAGCCGAGAGGAATGCTGAGACGAACGCCAACGACGGCGTACTTCTTTCCTGGGCCTAATGAATCAGCTAGAAATTTCTTCTCCGTCAACTGAGAAGCGGCCTGAATATAGCAAGAGGCCTAAAACTGCGCTGTCGCAACCTTCAGTGCAATAGACAGTGAAGCGCAGTGATATGATGAGCCAAAGCGGGTGGCCTCTGACGCTAGGTTCATATGCCTTATCTCGACAGTCCTTGCCTTTCTAAGATACTCAGTAAAGTGCTTTAGAAGGGGAATGATTGGACAAGGGGGCAAAGGGAAGGGGGAACAATACGACGAAACGGAGGCTTCTGAGCTTATTGCTTATCTTTGGTAGGTTCACAGAAGGCGCTCAAGATGCGGTTGTGACGGTCGAGCCCAGGCCCCACCCCTGGCATCCAAGAGATAAGGAACTGACTCTGGTATCTGACTGGCGAATGCTTAATCGTTGGCGTCGATCTCCGCGGGGCTCATTCGACCATGGATGGCATGTGCGTCAAGTTTGTAACGATGATTTGGAACCAACCGACTTTGAGGTCTGTAATAATGCTCTCCTGCGTTGTTGGCGACTGAAGGGCACAGAATATCAGGTGAGCAACGTTTTGTAAAGGTGAAAGTTGATGGAGTCCTGGCCGGCGACGATTTAACTTCAAGCACTGGCTTGGCTCCCTAGAAAAAACTAGACTAGGTAAGGACCTGGCACTGGTCTTTGATATGGACTAGGCCCGTCCAATTGGCACCCGACGGCCGTGTCTTCCTTGGTGATGGTGCCGTCTGCGCTAGCTGGCAGTCATCACAAAGCGAGGCCAACGTCGTGGAACAATAATGTCATACTTTGTCATTATTTGACGTCGCAGAGGAATTGGCACAACGTTGATCCTGATCATGGGCCGCGTGCCGCTTGCTGTCCCTTAAAGACTGGCCAGAAATAAACGGGGTGGTGTAGTCCGGGGACCCGTAACTGGGGCAAGGTCGTGGTTTCCTCCGCCGGCTC